CCTGCCCCTGCATATGTGCCAAAACAGCTTAGGATTGAGAACCAGAGTGTGAACCAGCCAGTCTGGATTTCACGCAAACTCACGGACCAGTGAACTTAATGTAAATGGTATAAATGTAAATATAACACAAGTTCAGTTTCAGTAAAAAGTTGATGGGATTACATTATTACACAAGATGTGAGATGGCTTGTGGAGAGCAATGTGCACTCGTGACTTGACCAGGCTGTGAGAGTGTAGCTGTGCCGCAGACCTTAAACTGCATGTATGTCACGGAATACAAAAAAAAACAACTGGCATGATGTATGATGGGACAGCTACGGAGGAAAGAATCGCAATACTTTGTTTTCCTTTTACACATTATAAAAAATGTCAAAAGGTGTGGGTTTAGCCCTCGGCATGTAAATTTTCATCTTTAATAATAAGGTATAATGCATTTAATAATCATGTATAATAATGTAATATAATAATTACTATATTTTGGCTTTGCACACCGCAATTATTGTAAACCTCAAACGGTCGGTAGAAGCGACCGGGAAATGAAATACATCTAGTGAAATGTTGCCAGTCATTACTTGTATTGCAGTGTTTTGAGGTTTGATCGAGATGATTAACTGCCTCTCCAGGAGCCAAACAAAAAAACAATCCGATGGAAAACCTGTAGTTTATTTTATTAAAAAGAAAAAAACCCAGAGGATCCCTAAGGGTCGGCTGGCAGCCACCCAAACCGCCTTCCTGCGTTTAAGCTGAAATCAGTGCTGCCAACAGGTGCAGTGATTACCCACTCCTTTCTGCAGCAGCAGTGTCTAGTATGACACAATCCAAGTTGGGTAATTCCGGTCCAGAGAGTACAAGTCCAGACCGGGATTTTGCTTCAACCAACCAGTTGAATGCTCTGTGACTGTGACTCTTTATGCTCATCTAGTTGGTTGAAACAAAATCTTGGTCTGGACTTTTACTCTCTCGACCTAAATTACCCAACTCTGGACACAATCGAGGCACTCTCCTATTGTATGTTTATTGTCTCCGTCGAAAAGGATGCTTTAATGTTCTGGCAAAACAGGCTCACAAGGAGTTAAAACTGAATTATCATTTTCTTTTGAATCCATTTCTTTGTTGTGAAGAGAATAATTGATCACTGAGACCTGCCTGCTCTTAAAGCCGCCGTCTGATTAAGGAAACATCTTTTTTGTTTTTGGCTCGCCTACAGCCAGACATCTCTTTCCCTGTCGTCTCACTCCGTCGGCCGCGGCGCTTCGCATGGGCCCCAGCCGCATGATGGGAGTCAAAGGTGGAAATCACATCGCCGTTGACATTTAAGCCATGACATTTAAACCTGAGCCTTTGCAAGTCGAATGGCCGATTATTATCAAGACATTGATATGCGGGGAGAACGCGGGTACAGGCGGTGACAGCCTGGCCCCCCATCCGTATACAGATACGCCGTCGGCGACACGTAGTGGTAGGAGCAGAGCCCGTCATCTGTGGCCACAGCCACACCGCCGGCTTGATAAAAGGTTACCCAGAGTTCACTGCTCTGTGCTGCGAGCCCCACTCATCACAGAGGTGTCGAGCTAAGTGTCTTTCAGTCTTGTTCTCTTCCTGATGATAGCTCTCCCACTTTGGTGTTGGTCCAGGCTATGCTGGGCTTTCCTGGAGACTGGTGGTTTTCTGTGGGGATAAATAAATGTCTCAGGGTGGGGTTTATGGATCTGAGGTAGCGCAATCCCATTTAATTCCAGCCCCTTTAAGCCGTCTGTCGGTGGAAACTTGGGACTTTGCTAAGTCCTGTCTCTGCAGCCCGAAAGCTGCGTAAAAGCTCCGATCAATCCCGTCGGATCATTCCCGGAATTAGGCCTCTTATGTTTTAATTCATTTTTTTTTTTTTCCCTGTTCTATCCCTGTTCAAACAGACTTGGGTATCTCTAAGGTGATAAAGACAATGTTTGGTCTTCATCTTGCAGACACTATGCAGAATCACAATTACCTAGCAGAAAAAAAAAAAATCCATTTTAAGATTTTTTTATTTTTTTTTTTTTTTTTATCTTTGAATGGTATTTGTTTTGAAAGTTATAAGCAGTTTAAGACATTTAGTTATTTATTTATCAGTTATTTGCAGCGCTGTCAGCCAACAAAATGCTTGATTCAGTATCCGCCTGTGTTTATAGTGCATTAAAACATGCGTCAGTGTCAGCCATCTGTTCTCAGAAATATAGCTGAAACCTTTACTGCTGCCTTGAATGCTGTTCCTAATGTAAACACTTATCTCTTTTGAATGGAGCATTGTCAGATTCTCTGCACTCGACCTTTTAATATGATTAGGTTATTTTCCATTTCTAATGGCATCTTGGACCTGTCTCCCATAATTCTTAAAGATTTATGTTAAATCAGATTGTAGAACCAATAGAAAAGTGCTTCGTTTTAAGTTATCAAAACAATTGGTCTTCACTTCACATGGATTCATAGTTTTTTTTCATGCTATTATTTTGTCACTCGACGCTGTGCCTTACAAAACCATGGGTGCTTTTTCACAGTCTTTGCTTTACCATTATATTATAACATTAACATTTATCGCCTTTATTTCAGCCACTGGACGCATTGACCTGGAGAGCAGTCGTGTGGGGGTGCAGACTGGGCGCCATCGCTGCTCCCATCTCTTTAGTGGTTCTGGAAGCAGCTGCGGGGGTGGGGGGTCAAGGAATATCTGCAAATTTGGCACTTTCTTTTGCCACCTGGGGGAGGCTCACCTCTATGCTTAGGCATCGTCATCAAGAATTATTAGTGCTAGAAAATGAGGTAATGCGTCATGGTTATTATGGTTAATATGGCTACTTGAAGCGCTGTATTGAAACACCACCAGCTAATGTTGCTACTTTGTGGAATTAGCATATTAGCGTGACATGTACACAATCAAGGGTAGGTAAATATAGCTGAACGGTCAGAGGGGATTATTTTTAATGATGTGGACGACTGGCATTCATTGTTCTTTATGGTCTAATGAAGCTAAAAATAAACACAGATGTAAATATTACCTTGAGAAGCCCTTATCTGATCTCCGTTAACCTCATGCACCCACCCATAACATAACTGTCCCTTGGTGTCTGTATAATACAGCTTTTAAGGCACAGGTGACGCGATATAGAATATAATTATGTGTGAAATCTTGCCAATGTACAGAAAGGTTGACTTTGTAATAGAGCTGAAAATTACAGGCAAGCACTAAACCTTGAAAATCTGAACATAAAACATTTTGTTGGTATGACTATTCATTTGAAATGAATACATTTTATGTGAAAATGCTTGGTTACGTGAAACAGGACACGAAAGTACAAATGTAAAAACTGAAAATATACAGGGTGAGTATTGTGACAATGGGACACCTGGCAAAATGAGACAGTTAAACTTTGCAGTTAATATATGTTTAGTAATATTTTATTTTTTCTTCTATATAGTGTTCAAGGGGCATTAATGTATTTAGAATGGTATCAAGTTGGGATTCCAGACATTGAAATTTTCAGAAAATGTCCCATTTTAACAATACTCACCCTGAAGTCTGTGTTCTTGAAGAGTAGGCTGGTCTTCGGGGGCCTGCTGTACATCTGGCTGCCCTTTGGGGGCCTGTATCCAGCTCTCTGTCGGGGGCCTCCGTCCTCAAGCCAGCATCCCTGTGAGAAAGCAGCTTTGGCCGTAATCGGGTCTGATTTGATCATGCTAAGTTGCTGAGCGTCTTCTGCAATCTGTCTGCACGCAGAGCTGCCAGATCTTGGCTCGAGTCAGAACTTTGGGGCCCGTCGGACAGTAAACCCGGATTTTTTAGGCGGTTTTCTGGGAATTAGACACATAATCGGCCTTTGTCGTTCCTAAGAGGGCCGCTCTCTGGCAAAGGCGCCCAGAGTTTCCTGTCATCTTTAATTGTTTTTTTCTTTTGGAGATCCCTTGATAACGTAGCTGTGACCAAGGTGGGCATTTGCCAGAGAGGGATGATCCTCATACTAAGTGTATTGCTGTAATTAGCCATAATTCCTCATCTGTCGGGTGTTTAAATTGGTGCGTGTCGCTTGATGTTCTGCGTCGCTCTGTTTTACCAGTAAGTTTATGAGCCCAACTTTATGCATCATAGAACTTTGATGTCATATAGAATTAGGGTAATCCTGTTTAACGTTTTCCATTGTCCATAACTAATAACCCAGGTGGTTTGGACTTCTCATTCGGAGGACATTCTGGAAAGCGGCCTCTCTCTATGTACTGATTCGAGAGGAAGTGTGTGCATGCTTTGTGTTACAGAGATGACGTAAATGACAGTGGCCATAGCCGGTCTCATTTCTGATTCGTCAAAATTCTTTGCGAATGCCTTTGCTTAGTGTGAAACACAAAAACCCTTTTGTAACTGGTAGAATTATAATCGCTCTCTGTGTAAACAAGACTGCAGCCGTCTTAAGGGGGTGAATCAGAATGGTTTCTCACGGTGTCTCCCATTTGCTTTCTTTCTTTTTCCAATTAATTTAGTTATTGCAACAAATGACGATTAGCCAGTTTTTTTTTCCCCATTATCAGTTGCTTCCTCTCTAATGACATTTTTACAAATTGGCTTTGGAAGGATATCGGCTTGTGGTTTCATCTGGCTTGTTTACAGCATAAAGGTTGGAACAGGCTTGTAGATTCCCACGTGCTTGTTTTAGGAATGACTTGCACGGTGTGGGGGGGGGGGAACGGCACGCGTGCTGTGTGTGCCATGTGCCCCGTGTCACCATCAAAGGTCCAGAGTGTCCGATGGAGGCCGTCGGACCTGTGTCCCGTGGGTCCCGCTCTGCGATCGCACGGTTGCCGGAAAAAGCTGTGCCGTACGAAACCACATGTGTTTCTCGTTTGGGTTTTGGCGGCTTCCGTTCCCTGGCGGCTCTCCCAGGCAGTGAACGGCGCTGTGTTTAACGTGTCTTTGCAGCCGGGCCTATAGAAAGCAATCGCCTTCAAAGTGTGGTCCAGTAATGCTTGGGAGGAGGGTGGCCCGTCTGCGGGAGTCCCGTGCATGTGCCCCGCCGAGCTCGAGCCTCTCTGGGTCCAGCCGGCTGAGTGGTTCGGATCAGTCCCCACTTGCGACCGGATCTGTGCAGCAGACCGTCGTGGATCCGATGCTGGCAGCTCTGACTGAACGCCCGTGCCCCCGAAAGACACACCGTCTCCTTATCTGCCTGCCGATTCCGTAGAGATTTCGGTTTGTGTTAGCCGCTTCCTGCCAGACTCCCGGGACATCGCATATCAGTGTGGCTCCAGACCCCTACCCGGACTGTTTCTTTCCCGGGATAGATATCTCGCTTTAGGCTGCGTAAGAATGTAGACGGCCATGTCTTAAGAGCTCGGAGTCATGGCCGAGGTCCGTGCCGCTTAAGCACTTAGCACACCAACCCCATCATGGACTCCTTAACGTCTGGCGTCGCTAGAGGGAGGCAACTGAAGGAGTCAAAATAAGAGATAAGGAGAACTGGAACCCCTTATCTCCTCGGAGCTGAGGGGAGCTTACAGGAGGAGGTGGAGATTCCATGAATGGCCGGCTTTGTGCTGCGCTTCTGGGGCAGCGGAATCTGAGAGCGGGGGTGAGTTACCGTGCCGGGTGCGGGGGCCACAGTGCTCCCCGGTGGCAGTGCTGCATGAAGAGGCAGTGAAGTCGGAGGTGTTGACAGCCCTCAGGGGTCCTGTAAAAACACTCCGGGCCAGGTACCGCATTCATGCCGACTCATTGATCTGTCACCAGTGTGTGCTCCCCCTGCTGTCCACCGCTTGAACTGCAGGCATGCTTTGACAGCACGCCGGCATTCACAGTAAGTACCCCACTTAAGGGCTGAAACAAGCTTGCCCGCAACTTGACCGGACTTCATCATGCTGTCCACCCCCCCGCAGCTAGTTGTGAATTCCGTCCGGGCAGGCCTGCAACTTCTCGAATATCCGCACTGTCCGTCGGTGGCGGCAACACGGCGAGCTCGCTGCGCGACTTGTGCTAAGGGCTTGCGCCAGGAATGAGGAGTTGGGGTGGGGTGAGCTGGGGGGCGGAGGGGGGCTGCAGGACTCCTTTGCTAAACCTGGGCACCGTGACACAGCCTCAAGTGTGAATTCAGATGCACTGTAAACATATTTAGTGTGTGTTTGTGCGGGGCGGAGGTCAGTCTGGGTGGTCCTCAGCCGTGTAAATACTGAGCGCGCCGGAGATGCGGTGTGTCAACACGCTGCGCTGGAGGTGTCCCGCTAATGAATGGCGCCGGCATGTTAAGTGCCACTACGGTTTGTTTAAGCAAATGAGAGCCGCTGACAGATGGCTGCCCTGACGCACAGGCCGTGACAACTCCATGTGTGCGTGCATGTGTGGGCTGGAGGTGTCTGTGCCCGCCCACGCGGGGGCGCTGGGGAGGGGCGGGGCGGGGCGGCGCCCAAGGTGCTGACTGAAGAGCGGCGTTTGATGTCGGTGCCCACTAAGCTCTGCCTGCCCGCTCACACCCTACAGGGCCCACGCTGACTCAGGGGAGATTAAGCGGCACCCGGGCAGGTCCCATCACAGCCGGGACATCTAGGATCTGTGCGCCTGCATGGGTCCGATTCTAGCCGGGGGAACAAGGAAGCAAGAGGGGCTTGAAATTGGGAGGGTAGTTCTGGCGCTCCTCATATTCTCATTTATGCTGTCATCTATACTACCATCTATACTGCCATTTATACTTTCATTTATATTCTCATGTATGCTCCCATCTATACTCTCATTTATGCTTTCATTTATATTCTCATCTATGCTCCCATCTATACTCTCATTTATGCTTTCATTTATACTCTCATTAACACACATTGACCTCATAAGATTTGCACACCCCAGAGCTGTTTGTACCCTATGTGTCCTTTTCTCACCAGTGTTATTTGCGCATCTCTATTTATTTATTTTTTGCTTTTATTTTTTTAATGGGTTTTGTGCTTTTGTCTTAATTGCGTGTTTAGTTGTTTACGTCATGGCACAACCTGCACCAAAACAAATTCCCGGTACTTTTTGTACTTGGTGAGTAAAAGGATTCATACGAGACGGAAATAACCTTGTTAGGCCATGATCATCCCGAGTAACAATAATGACAATGATGGTTGTTAATCATTGTTTTTTTATGTGAGCTTTAAAAGTGCTTATAGCCGTCGGAATAAGCTGGATTGCAGTCACATGACTACTGTTTTTTTTCCTTGGGTTCTAAGTCAGTGCCATGCCCAGTGCTATGCCTTTATTCGTATGTGTCTGTGGGTGTGCATGCTTCTCTACTTACCTCATTGTAGGGACCAAATGCCCCCACAATGGGGAAAAACCTCTTACTTTTTAGCTTGTGGGCACATTTTTCAGGACCAACAATATAAACCTCAATTTTATAAAAAATCTGTGACTGCAATGAAACTAAAAATGCCAAAAGTTTTATTTTTTGTTTGATTACTCATGCTTAAGGTTTGGGCTGGGTAGGGGTTAAAGTTGTCATAGTTGGGATTAGGGTTTTGCCGTGGAAAAGAATGGAGGGTCCCCACAATGAATCGGAATATAGGAGCTGTGTGTGTGTGTGTGTGCGCGTGCGCATATGCGTGTGCGTGTGTGCATGCATGCATGCTGGTATCGGTCTCTGGAGCAGACCTGCGGCAACCTGGCTGCTAATGGAGACGGATGCAGGAGGGGAAGTGTGGCGATGCCCCCTGGCTTTCTGGCAGCGCAGATTTCACCGTTATGAGTGTCGGTGGCCTGCCGGTGGCTTTTCTCAGATTGGACCCGAATGGCTGGGATGGGACTGGAGAGTGACGCGGAGGAGCAGCGCGGGCGCCGGCTGGCAGAGGCGTGGCACGGCTGCGGGTCGCCACGTACCCGCTGACGTCCGTCATGCACTCTCTGTAATGGGGATCTGCCATCACCCAG